ATACACACACACACACACATATATATATATATATACTGCTTATTTAAATAAATTTGCCTAGTGACAATTGTTCTTTAATTGTCTTTATTTTTTTGGAGGGGGCAGGTTTCCGGTAAAAACCAGAAAACCTGCTAGACAAATTCTAAAAGAGCTGTAACACTTCTTTAATTGTCTTTAATAGCAAGTATTTATTTACAACTTTTCTCTTAGTAAGAAAATTCAAGTAAGTTAATGAATGCTAATTTAATAAAAAAGGTTTATATTTTATATATAATATCCAGAGGCTTTTAGGCTTCAGTAGAAGTTATGATGCCCGACTGGCATTTGCATGATCATTTGTTTATACAGGTAAGTGCTTGCTAGACCTGCCTAGTACACACACTGTACATTTCTGAAAGGGAAACTTGGTGGGATTACTACTAGTTTTACCTTGGAATATTGCTCGCGATCAAGTTCTTGACTAGAACCAGACCCTGCTGTCTGCTTAAATCGATGCACTTTCATTTTCATCTGTCTTGTTCGCTCCTCCACTACTAAGCTTGCTGTAAAAACACACAACGGAAGCCTGTTAAAAACGTGAAGCAGCTTTTGTGAACCAAATGGCTTAAGATTTCAATGCTTTGATATGCCTTCAATACAGAGAAATTTAAAAATAACACATGATTACTACACTAAACAGAAAGCAGCAGCATAAACAATCCTGGCAGCTGTGCATCTAAAGATGAGCATGGTTCCAAATACACAGAATGGGGGGCTCAAATGTTAGTAACAAATGGTAAGTACTCTATTTCGGCATCGATATGAGCCATTTCCAATTCTCTCCAGACATGATTATGTGAAGCCAAGTTCTATTGTGAAAATATATTTTCATTTAAGTAACTAGCAGTTGCATGTACATATATAGAGAAAACAAATATGTGTACTGAACACATCACACATATATGCACATGCTTATGTGAAACTGGACACGTCAAATTAACATCCTCAACTAATTGTAGTCATCTAAACAACACTGTTTTGGTAAGTAGCTAACTTCTCAAAGGCATTCTTTAACTCATTAATTTCTATCAGTAGCTTCTCAGGAGTATTTGCCAGTTCTAAAACATGGACTTACTAACATAAAGGGTTAATCTATATCAGTTGGCTATGTTGGAAACACATACGGACTCGTTCAGTTTTGAAAATGAGATTTAAAATATGCATCTCTTCCTGGTTTGGAAAGAAATTCCAGTTGAGCATTTATTATTCTCCTACGTAGAAGTGGCTACTTAAAAGGGAAGGCTGCATCCTTCAGTGTTACAAGGTGATATTTTGGTTTCTTTCAAGGCCAGCTCCCATCCAAAGGAAATTCGTTTCAAGAACCTGCCTTTAGTGTTTGCATTTATTTGCAGGAAGGAAGGACTGAAGTTGAAGTCCTATAGGATAAATGCTTCAAAACTTACACAGGTGCTGTGCAAGGTCTCAGTTTGTTTATTGTTTGGAACTTATTTTTCTCAGTTTCACAGGCTACTTTCCCACTGGCAAAGAAGTGCTAAGATTGATGGTTTATGGTTTGAGGCGTGTGCATATGTGTGTTTTAGAGACTCATCTGTTGGGATTAAAGATTAATGTTAATGTTGGTACATCAGATTGACTTGACATCTGATTTTCTCTCTTAACATCCATAAGTAGACAACAAGTTTTATAAAAACACTTGCTGAAAACGGTTTCCATGGCAATGCTAAGTACAGCCTAACATCCTTTATGAAAGACACTCACAGGCATTGCAAAGTTAAGCACATGTGTAACTTTTTGGTGTGTGTTCCGGACCAGACTAATAGCCCATGGAATAAATACATCAAGCTTGAATTTTCAGTTAGATGTTTCAATCATACTTTTTACAACAAATTATTAAGTGGTTTTCTGTGTTTAGATCCTATCAATTAGACAAAGGAATAGCCATTTCTTAACATCACACTTATGCAAGGACATAAACTTGCTTTGTAAATCTTGACTGCAGTCAGTAAATGGTGACTATGATGACAATATTATAGGTTTATTGAAGAACTGGAGAAATGAGGTAACGAAATTTATAAATTACCTGACAATCATAATGCATAATAGGAAACATTACAAAGCAAAATGCACTTGAGACTAATTATGAATTAAGAGAAATGTATTGAACTGATGTTATCTACAGCTTGCTGTCTGAGGAAGTCAAATGGCTTATAATCAGTTAGGACTCCTTAATTAAAGCTTGCAGTAATTCAAATCAATTTTAACTTGAAACAGATTTAAATGGCAATGTTAACCTACTAATTCTCAGAAAATGATGTCAGTTTTAAGAATTCTTAACATCTTATTAGACCACAGTTTTGTGACGTTCCCATCTAGCATCATGCCAGTCATGGGGGGCAGGGACGCACACAATGAAGAGCCAGAGTCTGGAACAAAGTGCAGTGATGTCACTCTGCCAGCAGAGCGTCTCCCTCTCTACAGAGAATTGCAATATGGCGGCATTTAGGACTTAAGTTTGCAAAATTCAAAACTCAATCATAAGAATTCAATGGTACTCCAACTACATCGAGTCTTTCAAATGGTTTCAAATGGTTTTCCTTTTTAAAAATTATTCTTGTCCTTATTCTTGAAGAAGGTAAAGCTGACATCTTTGATATTGCCGAAAAAAAATCTCCCAAACTTAATATTGTGACTCAAAATTATGAGTTGACCTTTGATTCTCCAGTAATAATATAATTGCTGTGCCATTCCAAGGGGACTCAAAGCAAAAGCCAAATAGAATATAATCTACTTACTCATAAGAAAAGGTCAGATACTTATATATCATTGAACACATTTTTTATATTTCTGATAATTTGCCAATGACATGTACATTAATGTGTATTCTGAAATAATTGTCTATACAAATTATTATGGATCAGTAAAAGTTGCAAAAAAAATATCAGTGGAGAACCTTCATGATATATTGGAAGTTACTTAACTTTGCTAAATATTTTGCTTGTAGCAAACTTTGATAACTGTATATTATGAAATAAAAATGCACCATTTCGGCTTTATATGTCAATCTAAACAATAGGATAAGTTTCTGGAAAAATAGAGTAGTTAGCACACACTGGAACCGGAAAAAATATATTTACATAATTCAAAAAATAAGACAGTAATGATTGAAAATGAATTTAATCATTGGAATTTGATCATTTGTCAAGTTTTCCACTATAAATAAAAGTAATCACAGCTCAAGGAGTCTAATTATAATGCTTTGAAAGGAATGACTACTGACAATTATTTAAATTTTATATGATTTTAACAATGTTAAGGACAATAGCAAAAACAGAAAATAGGAAATAAAACATTTTCAGTTCTCTCACAAATTCTTGAATTAAATTTACATTTTCAGAACCTTCTGAATGTTGTAAATTTATCAAAACTAATCAAATCATTAAAATGTCCACTGCTATTTCTTTAGAAATATATTTAAACATTGGGGGGACTTTTAGGCTTATTTTTAAGAAAGTTCACAATGGCCACAAACTAGCATTAAATAACATCTCTCATTTTTCTACAACTATAATTATTATGTAATTTCATGTAGTCATTTAATTAAAATGATACCCTTAAATATGATGTAGTCAAAAGATAAGGGCATTTACAAAGGACTATCTCTAGTCACAATGATAGTATCATATTAAACAATTTCTCTCCCTTCGTTCCTACACTGTAATTAACATTGCAATTTTATAAACATTATTTCAAAGTTGGAATTTTTCAGAATACCCTCTAAAAGGTGAATTATATTATGCTTAATAAAATCATTAACATATCTAAAAAGATTCACAGAACATGATCACTTTTCATTCAGTCTACTTTACTCTATAAACGATGCCATTTCCACACTGCATTTTTTTTTTCAGATGCATCTGCATGTCAAAACTCAATTCAAGATTACAATTAAGAAAGTACAGAGCTGAAACTTTATCTCTAGGGGTTAAATTAAAGCAATACTTGTGCAATCTTTTCTGGTCCGCTAAAACTCAAAGTAGCACAATTTGACCAGAGCAGGAAGATGAGAAGAATAAATATAATTTACAAAACACTGTAATTTATTATAATTTCCTAATGGAAAGTATTAGATCATATCAAAACCAATGACTCAGATTAAAACAATTATTGTTCTTCCTTTCACAGGCTTAAACTAGCTATGCGGATGATCTCTGATGAGCCTATAAGCAGGTTAAAATCAGTGGCATATATTGTGTTTATGGTAGCATCTCTTTCCCTAGACCTATTCACTTCATAAGATTATCAAAAGGAAACAAAACACCAATAATTTATGAATCTTTAACACAACTTCTATAAACCATAACTGAAAAACTTCTACAGCATCGCTGGAGAAGACGAATTTCTTCACAATTATCAGACATTCATAACTTGCTTAAAACTATTCTAAATAGTGTATTGTTAGTTGCCATTAAGTTGGCTCTGACTAACGGTGACTTTTGAGAATGAAATGTTTCCTGGTGATCAGCTGTCTGGCCTTTATACAATGAAGTTATTTTTGAAAATATTGTGTTCATTTATCTAATTGAGGGAAAGCTTCCCATGTATTACTTGACACTCTACTTATTTATAGTTCAGTATCATTATAATTAAACATCAAGATTTCATAGGATACCTTAACAGATTAATTGGGGGGAGGGGGCGATTACATAATTCATCTTAAAAGTTAGTAAACCATCGGGGGGGAAAAAAAAGAAAGTGTCCTAAAATTGATTGTGGTAATGATTATACAACTCTTCCTGATATGATTGGACTCCTCAATTGTGTGATAGGTGGTTTAAGCACCAATAAAAATGTTCAAAAAGATTAATTTTGAATTTATATTTATATAAAATACATTGATTCTGATTACCAATTAATTTCTTTAAGTATCTTATATTTCCCCTAATGTATCTATAAATCAAAATGAATTTGAAAATTTAAATGCTTGCATTTAGAGACAAAATAGAATCCATGTTATTTTTAAACTTTCCAGTATTTTCTAGTTTTTGGTTAAATATAGTGCAGAAGAAAACAGAGACAATAGCATATTTTATCAGGTATATGAAAGCATAAATATGATAATCATTTTATTTTTCACCAGTTTAACAAATATATGTGACAAAGGTGATATATAGTAACATGTGAACAGGATAGTGAAGCATCTCTGGTTAACTAGGGTGTGCTGTGACATTGCATAGAAAGAATGTGTTCCTGCTTCCATGTTTCACAGCAGAACAAAAACAATTCAATGATAACGGGGCCACACTCTTGTGTCAGCGTATCTCTCAGAAAGGGCAACGATTATTGACAACATTGCTGGACGTTGTCAAGTAGAATGGAGAATCAATGAAACTTCATTTCATCAATTAGTGGTGGAAGGCGGCGGGCGGGGAGATAAGAAAAATTACTAGACGCTCTACTTCTAGTTGCAATTATAGTGACCTGACATATTTAAAGCATTTTCTTATAAACTATAACTTCATTGGTAACGGAGAAAATAAAATGA